GCTAAACACATGACCGTGTATCCTTCAAGCCACTAGACCCATGGTCATGTCCTACACGCCCCCATTGTAGCTCTTGGCCTCCGTTAATCACTACTTTAGCTTGACACTCTCCTGCCATGGCTTGCATGCTTTCTTGGTTTTCAACTCACTTTACTGGATAATTCATTGTCTTTGTTTCTTTCTCCTTATCTTACCAGGTCTTCTCTCTTTACTGTCATTTGCTGGTGGTCTATTTAATCTAATTCAAACGTGACCTCTGTACCTGATGCTCACCCAGATTTTTCTCCCAGCCTGGGCCTCTCATTCAACCAATAGTCAATTGCTGTGGTCAAGTCAGAGGTCAAAGGTGCAGAGCTCTATGTGGACCACAGTGGGTATCTCAGGCTCAGCACATCTAACACGACTCCTACCTCCCCAGACCAGCTTGTGGCTCTGTGAGCATCTTAGTATAAGGCAACTTTTCCAGCTGCCATTCTCAGGATCCGAGTTTCTCCCCATATCCAATCCTCACCCAAACTTGTTTTCACATCCACATATATTAGCATGGCCATTTCTCATCACCTCCCCTGCTGTCACCATTCTAGACTGTCACAACAGTTTCCTAATGGGGTCCTCACTTCTACCCTCAGGGCCATTCACACCTCTAGCCATAGCTGACTCTCATTAGAGGAAGAAGTCTGTTACTACATGAGTCATATCAGGTCACTTTGCTAGAATCCTTCAAAGTCTTCCTGGCAAGGAGCCAGAGGGACAGGCATTTCTAAACCTACAGGCCCCTGGGGCAGGTGGCCAGGCCAATGCACCCTCTAACCCCCATCTATCATCCCCTTTTTAGCCTGGCAGTTCTGATGCTTTCATATTCTCTGATTTCTTGAAGAAAGGAAACATTTGAAGGGAGAGGAAGTCGGTGTTCCCTTCCAGCTATGGTATCAGTAAGAGGTCAACAAGTCAGTCCAAGAATGAGATACATGGGATCTGTCACTACTTAAGGACTTCCAAAAATTGCCTTACTGATTTACAAAAATCAGGCTCTCCTTCCAAAGCATGCATATGTAGCCCCAGGGGGTGGAAACCTTTCCTAACCCTCTCTTCTTTCAGCCTCCAGCTGGTCAGTAAGTCTTGTTTACATTTCTGTCTCTACACCCTATCTTCTCTTCCACCTACTGACATCCTAACTGGAGGTAAAATTCAGATGCAATCACTCAGGAGCCATAGTTAGGGCCCCAGCAGCCCTCCTCAGAGCCTCCTAACCACCCCCAGCCATCCCATACACAGATTTCTAATCACTACTCCATATAGGATCTGGACTAGTTCTAATAAAACCTAAATAAATAATTCCTGCACTACTGTACCATACAGTCCTCAAAACCTGCTAAAGTAAGCCAAGATACACTCCTTTCACCTGCCCTGAGTGCAGATCTTCTTAAATAGGCCACTGGACTGTTTAAGGCACCAGGCTGCCTGGACAGGGAGAGGAACACTGCCCTCACTCCCTGGCCCTTCAGTGATTGGCCCAAAAGAGGCACACCCTCCAAAACAAGCCAATCAGAGCCTTCTTCTAGAACTGATTGCCAGATGCAGAAAAAGGACACCCCTCCTCCCCATGCCCAAGTTGTAAACTGAGGCTGCTAGCAGTTGTGCCCTCAGCTTATCCAGAGGTGGTAAGACCAGTGCCAATACAAGAAAGAAGAGGGGATAGGAGCCAGATGGGTCACTGGCAACACCAATCCCCATTCCAGAGTTCAGCTTCTTTGGTGAACTCCTACACCCTTTCTCCAGTATGGACCTAGTAAGTTCCCACTTACACCTGTGCTAAGGGGATTTTTGTTCCGTGCCCCCAACCCCATACCACCCCCCACACACCGCCTCTTTTCTTTCTTTGCTGTAGTCCTTAGGTCAAGAACAGTTCCCAGCATATTGTACTCAATCATCTATTAAGTGAATGAAGCAAGCACATTGGCTGGAGGGCAGAAACACTGGTGAAGCCCAGCTCCATCATTTCCTAGCTGTGTGACCTGAGGCAAGGTTGTCTAGTGGTGTGTTTGTGTGTGTGTGTGTGTGTGTGTGTGTGTGTGTGTGTGTGTGTGTGTGTGTGCCTGTGTGTGTACGGAGTGCAAATGTGTGCACGTGTATGTGTAAACACATGCTTATGGAAGCCAGAGAACCATCTTCAGTGTTGTTTCTCTGGTCCTCATGCACCTTGTTTTTTGAGACAGGCTCAACTTGCCAAGTATGCTAAGCTGGCCAGCCAGCCCCAAGAAGCTGCCTATCTCCAACTCAGCAGCACTAAGATTAGCGTTATAAGCCACTATGACCCACTTTTCTACATGGAATCTGTGATCTAACTCCGGTCTTTAAGCACTTGAACTCAGCCATGTCCCTCACCCTCACCCTCCCTCTGTAAACAGAACTGGAATCATAGTACCTACTCAGAGGGTTTGGGAATAATTAAGATCATGAGCAGAAAATCCCTTCCTTGCAAACAGCTCAGGCTCCCCAAATGCTAACTGCTCTTGTTATCAACTCCAGGCCATATGCCCAGTCTTGGCTTCAGACCCTTCACAGGTTATTAGAACAGTGGCATAGGAAAGGAAGGAGCAGCAGAAATAAATGGCATCAGATTAGCAATTGAGAGCATAGGATAGCATGCCTATTTCTTAGGAGTCTGTTAAAAGGGTGAGAAATGATCCCAGTGCTCAGGAGGCAGAAGCAGCAGATGAGTTCCAGGCCAGCCTGGTCTACAAAGCAAGTTCCAGGACAGCCAAAGGCTACACAAAGAAACCCTGTCCTGAAAAGCCAAGAAACAAAAAATGGGGGCTAGAGAGATGGCTCAGTGGTTGGGAGCACTGGCTGCTCTTCCAAAGGACCCAGGTTCAATTCCCAGCACCCATATGACAGCTCATAACTCTCTGTAGCACCAGTTTCAGGGGATCTGACACTTTCACAGACATACATGCAGGCAAAACATGAATGCACATGAAATAAAAATAAACAAATTATTTTAAAAAACAAAACCCAAAAAAAAGAAAGAAAAGGAAAGAAGGAAGGAAGGAAGGAAGGAAGGAAGGAAGGAGCAGACTGGGTAATTTACAAGCACAAATTCTCCTGGGAGCAATCAGCCAACATTTAGTGAGATTGGAGAGTCACCCAGAGTTCTCAGTGAATTGCCAATGATCAGAGACCCAAGACAAGTGGTGGCAGAGAAGCCTGTGTGGCAAAGTGTGCAGGAAAGTACTGCCACAGACAGCACCACTCCGGTGATGAGAGACACTCTGTGCCTTTTAAGAACCAATTTTCACAGCAAAGCTTAAAGAGGTAGAAAAGCTTCTTACATCGTGGGGACAAGGTAATAAGGCTATAAAAATGGAACCACACAGAACCCACATGGGCCCAATTTTCGAAGAAAAACAGCGATTGCCACAGCATTTAGGATGGGGGAGGAG